CACAATGCTCAATTTGTTTCATAACTGCCAATGCATATTTTTAGAAACTTTACAGTAACGGATCTTCTTAGATCTCTGCAGAGGATTAGGCATTTAGATTGAGTTTCATATGAAGAGTATAAATCTATAGAAAATTCTGCATGTACACTACTGTAACACAACTCAATGCAAAAACAGAATCTATTGCACACAACAGTACTCTTGAAAACATGATCAGGGTGTGAAGTTTTTTTATTTACTTTATTCACACCACACACACACCACAATCACTGTGCGGCATCATGTCGCTGAGCTGCATCGGGCCACATCACCTCATCCACATCGCAGGCTATATTGTCTGTTGCCAGGCACCGCAGGAAAAACGCCCTGGATGGCGAATCCATCCTTGGAAGGCCTCCACTTGGATGTCAACACAGGCCAACTACATTGCCCTTAGGAGGTTCTCTAGTGTATGGTTGTCTGTCATAAACCTTCCATCTCCACGATGAGAAGAACTCCTCTATAGGGTTCAGGAAAGGGGAGTAGGGTGGCAGACAGACGTTTAAAAAGTGGTTACTGTTGGTGGTGAACCACTCTCTGATTTGGTTTGTTCTGTGGAAGCGGACATTGTCCCAAATGATCACATAAATGTGATGTGCGGGCCCAGGATGGTGTTGTTGGCGGTCCAGGAGGATGTCTTTTAGCTCCTCTAGGAAGGTGAGGAGACGTTGGGTGTTGTAAGACCCAAGGACAGCATGCCGGTGGACAAGCCCCTCCGAACCCATGGCCGCACAAAGAGTAATATTACCCCCCCGTTGGCCAGGAACCTCAGTGATGGCTCTTCGACCAATGATGTTACGGCCTCTTTGCCTTCGTTTCTGCAGGTTGAAGCCAGCCTCATCCAGGAAGAGGTACTCATGAGGTCTGGCCATCGCGTCCAACTGTAATATCCTCTGTGAAAAAGTGAAAGTGCACAGGTGTTCAGAACAACAGTCAATCAGGTAGCACAGTATTGTCCAGAAGTAATGTAGGCCACTGAGCAACACAGTATGTCCACTAACTGTACTGTGAACATGGATGTATACTTACTTGCACATACTCGTAACATAGGTCTTTGTGTCGCGCAGAGTTGCGCTCAAAGGGAACCCTATAATGTAGACCTGTTTCATCCGCATCTTTTGGCGCCGGAGAACTCGGTCTATTGTGGCCAAGCTGACATCATCAATGCTCTCAAAGTTGACATTATCGGCAATGACTTTGTCTCTGATCTCCCGGAGTCTGGCGAGGTTGTTCTCACGAACCATATCCACAATGAAGGTTTCTTGTGCCGCTGTAAATATGGCAACCCTCCCACCTCTATGTGGCATTCTTTCAACTCTAAAGAAAGAAACATGTGTTGTCAATTAACATGTTTTGCAATAACAACTGATTTGAAACCAATAGACTACTTTCACAGGCTTGTAAAACTGTATTGTGACAAAGACAGCAATAGAGTACAATACCTGTTGTGTTGTCTGAATGCCCTGATAATGGTGGCCATGGTGAACCTACTCAGGTTTGGACGGACTCTTAGTCCTGCTTCAGCCATTGTCATGCCATGGACAATGACATAGTCAATGACTGTTGCTCGCATCTCGTCCGTAATGATGGTGCGAGGTTGTCTTGCTCTCCTTCGTGGACCTTCTCCTCTCCCTTGTTGGCCTCTTCCTCATTGGCCTGCTCCTCTTCTTCCATGGCCAGCTCTTCTCCCTCCTCTGACTCGAATAACTCTTCCCCTAACTCTGCCTTCATCCATTGTGTTTGTTTGGAATCTTCAGCAAACTGTGCACTCTGAACTTGCTTTTATACATGTGGTCACAGCATTAGCAACAAGTGTCTTCAATTTTGAGTCGTTGTGTGTAATGAATGATGTTCATTGTGTTAAAATATTGCTGACTGTGGCAAGCATTTTGCATCACATGAGCTTTCATTTGAGAATATGAGCAGAGTTCTTTTGCAACTTGTGTTTTAGCAAGGAAAAATGTGTTTAGATTTATGAGAACGGAGGATTGTGTTTTGGGAATTGTGTCTTCATGTGAAATGTGTTTATGATATTGGAAAATGATGGCTAGATATAGTAAATGTGTTTAAACAACTGGTCATTTGGTTTAGAGGATTGGCTTTTGTGTTTTAGCATTTGAGAAAAACTGTAAATTATAGCCCCCAAATATTCAAGCATTATTAAATGCAATGAGTTTTTAATCATTAATTTAATTAGTCATTAATTTAATTTCATATCCAGCTGTCCAGGACGGGAGTTTGACACCCCTGGAGACACCTAGGTTATGGGCTGAGCTGCTGAGGGAGAAGTTCACCTCCTAAGAGTGGAATGAACAGATTATAGTTGAAGATTATAGAAGCTGTCCTCTTATTACTCTTTCCTTTTTGTTCTACTGTTTGTTATGTATTATTTCTCTTTCTCTGTCTCTCTCTCTCTCTGACCCCCCTCCTTATTTTATTTAAATTTTTATTATGTATTTATTTATTTTTCTACTTCCTCTGTCTCTCACCCCTTTCTCTCCTTTCTCACTGTCTCTCTCTATCTCTTTCCCACTAACCCCCCGTCAGCTCCGGCTTTGTGGCGCAATGACATAAAAATGATTAATAAAGAGTATACCTCAAGTAACAAGAGGAACTTAAATCCGAAGCTCCACTTGGCAAAATAAAAGTGTTGGCACAATAAGGCACCCAGACTAACATCCTGCTTGCTAAACTGCCGGACACGACAAGGGGAGAAAAAAAAAAAAAGATTATAGTTGACCAATCTGTGAACTTGCCTCCAAACAGAACCTTGGTTTTCTCTGCATTAAGTCACGAAAAGTTCACACATCCAGGTCTTAACTTCATTAAAACAATTGGCTAAAGTGACAATAGATGTTCATGAACACTTTATTATACATTTTTTTCCTGTTAGTATTTGTACCTAATTTTCTCTCTTTCCTTCACCTGGCTTTATACATCTACTGCCAATTTCAGGAACCTGGAGGCTTGTGACAAGCATCCTGGTCTTACCAGCTGTGTGGTGGACATAAGCCATGATCAGGGTTCTGGCAGCAAGGTGTGCTCTCACTCCCTGATGGAGGAGTCCCACTCCATCTTCCGCTGCTCCATCAATGAGGAGGAGCAGTGTGAGCCTGTGGCTGGTCACCAGGGATACCAAGGCCGACTTAGTGTCAGGACCTCCTCAGACGTTCAGGGGGAGCCCATGGGCCTCAGGAAGGACAGAGAAGCTAACTTTCTGCAACACTTCAACATCCCAAACTTCGTTAACTCTGAACACAGCTCTGTGCTGGGTGATGATGACCTGCTGCTTTGTGAGCAGCCAATTATTATGGACAGTGAGACCAGGTGCAACAGTAAACTTGACATCATCAGCTGAAATCTGTGGCCTGCCATATCGATGTTGCTAGATGAGCTTCATTTGTATTCTCAAAATCACACTGCTCCAGTATATAGTAAAAATCAGTACGCAAAAGCATTGTACATTAGTCATGGTACATGCAATGACTAGCATATACTTTCAGCTACCCGTTTTGCCATTTCATTTGATATTGCAAGTTTGACCTAGTAAAATATGTAGTAATTAGTATTTTTTCTAAACTACTTTCTTAAAAATAACATAAAACTAATCCATTTGCAGCATTGTTAATATACTGCAGCAAAATAAAATTAATGCACAAAACTATCCTGACATTATTTTGTAGCTGTATGTCATTGAATGTGAAATTCATCAAAGACAGTTAATTCAAAATAACTAAAATGTGTTCAATTATATGACCAAAAGGAAAAATACTCTGTAATCAGCTGCAGTGTACATGATGTATGAGGCTTGTAACAGGCCATTATTTTTCCTGGCCAAGACCCATAAGAGTGTTCAAGTTAAATATATATTCAGAAAAGTGACACCTAACAGAAAAAATATTTAATTTTCATTCTGAAATAACTGGGGTACTAAAGCCTTGCAAAAAACCTGTACTTGTACTGAAAAGAGCATGTATTTTCACTCATCCTCACACCCATCTTGGATATATCATCACCTGAGGTTGGCTCTTCAAACCTTCCTTCAAATTTAAAAATTGATAGTAAAAAAAGAAGGTAATTAACCACACAGAAAGCACATTCAACCTTTACTATGAAAACAATTAACAAGAAACAATTAGAGTCAAAAAAACAAATGATCACATAGGAAATAACATCCCTGTAGTTATGTAATGATTAAAGCTAATGAAAATTCTATTAAAATACAATAATAATATTTAAACAGACAATGCAAAAAAATATTCTCAATTTCAGTGTCCTTGTCCATCAAATCATGTTCTGACTGCAAGACATCCACGATATCTATGCTGAAGTATACAGACTAGTCTTGCCTTAGGTCAAGTGTACAGCTCCATTGACTGGGATCACCACACCCTGCCTCTGAAGCTCCCTCAGCACGTCCAGGATGGAATCCAGCTCAGTGCGAAAGTTCTCCAGCTCCCTAGTCTTGCCCTGGGCCAGCTTTTGCCAGGCCTCTACTTCCTGCTGCTGCTGCTCTTCTGCTACTAGAAGTGTCTTTGCGATCACCTTGGGGCAGGGAGACATTATATTCTGTTAGAGGCTCAACTTCAAGGCCTGGCTTTTATAAATATTAAAAGTAGACATTTTGTGTGTTTTTTTTATTCAAGTAATGTAACATAAAATGTGCATTCTTCATGATGTCAGCTTGTTTGCTTGTGTGGGTGCTGCTGAGTGTTTGCATGTTTCTGTTTGTAAGGGTGGGTGTAAGGCACTCTGCTCTATCTACATGGGTACAGGCATGCATACACGGACATCCCTACCTGCTGCAGCTCCCTCTCTCTTTCGCTGTGCCGCCGTTCCATATTCTTGATCTTGGTTTCTAAGGAGGTGAAGTGTTTGAGCCGGGGGGTGTGCATTTCCTTTGCTTCTTTCAGCTCCTTCAGCAATTTTTCCATCTATAACATCAATCACTTAGTTATGGCCCCACACACGATACATTAGAAATATGCAACATACATGGTACCTCAGAACTCGAATTGAATCCGTTCAGAACTCCAGATTGAATCCTAAAAAGTTTGAGTTGTGATTGAATTTTCCCCATAAGAAATAATGGAAAACCAATTAATTGGTTCCCAGCCCCCAAAAAATTACACCTAAATATGTTTTTTTTAGCATTTAAACACAAAATGAACCGGATAAAACAAGAGCATATACTATACTAAACACATCTAAGCACATTTATCAAAACAGTAATTTGTAAAGTAAGAAAATAAATGTATCCAAACAATGTATAAAGTTAAAAAAAAACAATGTGTCCTGCCCCCTCGTTAACCCCGTGTCATTAGTCCTCTGTATTTAGTCCGCGTTTCAGTTTGTTTCCCCAGTCTTGTCATTGTATTGTCC